GAACAAAATATGGCCACGCTTGGGTTCCCACAACTCAGTACACAGGGTGTTTTCAATCTTTAAAATGTGCTGATCTGATAAGTGAAAGTAAATACCATTGTTAACTGAATTTGCATTTGTTTGCTCATTATTAAAATTGAGCATCTTTTTTACATCTGGCTTTGGCCATGTGAAATTTCTCCTCTGAGAACTGTTGTGTGTTTTACTCATTTTTTTCAAAGTTCCATCAACTCTTCTTCTTTAATTTGTAAAAGATCTGAATACTAAAGAAAGTAGCTGTTTGGCTATCAGTTCTGTACCTTCCAATTCTCAGTTGCCAAAGTGAGCTTTCTAGTGCCAAGATTTAATCATTTCCATTTGCTGCTGAATTTCTGTCAATTTGTTTGAGGATATAACCCAAACATTTCAGTGTGGTATACAGTACCTCTGTCTACTCATTTATCCTGATTTTGTATTCTTTCATTCACTACCTTCCCTCCAGTCCTTAAAAAACTCCTGTGTTCCCCAAACAAGCCACATTCTTTCTACTCTGTGTGCTTGCACACCCTTCTCCCTACCTGGACTGCCCTCCCCCACTCTAGGGTCAGGTGTCATCTCCTTTGTGACATCTACTTTAAGCCTCTGCTCCATTTGGCATCAGGTGTCCTTGCTTCATCAGAATTCCATCACTAGACTCTCAGGATATACTAGACTATTAAAATCACCTGCTCATTGACATCTCTTCTCCACTAAATAAGAAGCCCCCTCAGGATAGCGTCTATTTCTTTATTCCAAGAACTCATCATTGAATCTATTACATAATACATTCTTAATTCATGTTCGCTGAGCAAATGAATCAAACAAAAGTGACACCAACTAGGATTATTTTGTATCAATCATCTGGTCAAATAGATTTCAATCTTAATTCTGGCCTTTTCCAGCTTCTAGAAGCCACCTGAATTCTTCAGGTAAGGGACCCCTCCCTCCATCTTTGAAAACAGCAATGTAGCATCTTCCCATCTCTCTGACCACTGCTATTATCCTTACATTTTCTCTCTCTGATTCTAACTCTTATGTCTCCACCTTATAAGGTTCTCCGTGATTGCATTGGGCCCACCAAGATAATCCAGGACAATTTCCCCATCTCAGAATAATTAACTTCCTCATATCTGCAAAGTTGCAAAGTGCCTTTAGGCTATATATTCACAAATTCCAGGAATACATGTTCAGGTTATTTGGGATGTTAACATCTTGGTGTTGGTGGTTGGAGGGGGGCGGGGGGAAGGTTGGAATATTATTCAGCTTACCATGCCTCCTCTTGAAAGTTTTTCTGACTTCTTGTATTGGAATTAGTTGTTTCTCTTTCTCTGGATCCCATGGGAATTTTTACAACTTTGAAATTTGCGATTAATTTTTCTACCTTCACTGTTACTTACTTGGTGGCGAAATTATGTATTTAATCTGGGCAGTCAGACCATCCTAAATCTGGAACTAGGACTTCCTTGGTTTCGTCCTTTGTAAAGGAGAAGTGTATTGCTAGGTGGATAAGAGAACAGATGGAGGGGCAAGATTCCTCATCCAAACCTCTGCTCTAACAGATACTAGTAAGAAATAGCACCAATTTCTAAATTTCTTCATCTGAAACATAGAAATAATTATAATATTTACTACATACATTTATTGTATTAATAAGAGAACAAATGTAAATTACTTAAAACAGTGCCCTAGCTGGTTTGGCTCAGTGGATAGAGTGTCAGCCTGCAGACAGAAGGGTCCCAGGTTTGATTCCAGCCAAAAGCACATGCCAGGGTTGCAAGTTCAAACCCCAGTAGGGGATGTGCAGGAGGCAGCCAATTAATGATTCTCTCTCATCACTGATGCTTCTATCTCACTCTCCCTGTCCTTTCCTCTCTGAAAAAAAAAAAAGTTAAGGAGAACCAAGATGGCGGCGTAAGGTACAGACCTGTGCGTGCTGCCTCCCACAACATCGAAAATACCAACTATAAGACAAAACAGCTATCATTCAGAACCATGGGAAAGCTGGCCCAGTGGAAGTTCTACAACTGGAAGGAAAGAAAGAAGAGCATTGAGACTGAGTAGGATATGCAGAGGCGCCAAGAACAGAGGTACGGAGTCGCTCGCCAGGCGGGCTGCATCTGGACACGTGGTTTTTTTCAATCGAAAGGGGTTACAAACTCTCGAATCCACTGAGCTTGTTTGGGGCAGGATTCTGAGGTTCCCAGACTCCTACGGGGAGAGGAGGGATGGCCTTGCAGTGGGTCAGAAAGTGAGAGTGGCTTTCTCTCGGAGCTGCTCGCCGGCACTTGGGGATGCAGAGAGGCGAGGAGTCGCAGAGACGCCATTGCTGTTTGCTCTGCCCTGGTGACTCCCTGAGACCCTGCCCTACTCAGTTTACATCCCCGCCCAAGCTGTGCCAGTGGCACAAAAGGAACCACCTGCGCTTTTGCAGCTTAACCCAACAAACTGCAGATTTCAACTCCTCGCACCCATAAGGTACACACTCAAGAAGCAGAATCAGGTTCAGAGGAAGCCAGAACCAGACCCGGCTGGGCCGGCAAAATGGAACCGCTGTACCAGCAAACACGCAAACAGGTCCACCAGATCCAGTCTCACATGGGACTCTGGAAGACGGCAGATAAGCAGTCTGTGCACTTAGTAGAAAACGAAATCCAAGCAAGCATACCAGATATTCAGCCAGCTAGAAAATAACAAACTTCCTGTTGACCAGTTAAAGTATGATGTCCAGCACCTGCAGACTGCTCTCAGAAACTTCCAACATCGGCGATACGCAAGGGAGCAGCAGGAGAGACAGCAAGAGGAGCTTCTGTGTTGCACCTTCACCCCCAACATGGGATGCGGTGCCCCCTGCGAGGCTGAGACGGCCCCTCTGAGGCTGAGACAGTCCCTGTGAGGCTGAGACGGTCCCTGGGAGCCTGAGACAGTCCCTGTGAGTCTGAGACAGCCCCTGTGAGGCTGAAACAGCCCCTGTGAGGCTGAGACAGCCCCTATGAGGCTGAAACAGCCCCTGTGATGCTGTGATGGCCCCTGTGAGGCTGAGACGGTCCCTGTGAGGCTGAGATGGTCCCTGTGAGGCTGCGACAGCCCCTGTGAGGCTGAGAAGGTCCCTGTGTGGCTGAACACAGGGACACGTCATGGATGGAAATAGCTACATTTTCCATGTGTATGACCCGGCAACAAAAAGCGTACCCCTATGGATGAGGACAGTGGGGGGGGTAAGGGCAGAGGGTGGGGTGGGAACTGGGTGGAGGGGAGCTATGGGGGGAAAAAAGAGGAACAACTGTAATAATCTGAACA